ACTGAATGCAAAAGTGCTCAAAGTGGGTGGACCGACACCAAGGTGTGGCAGGCAGTCCAGACGGCATTGTTTGCGTTGCCCCGATTTCAGTTTTTTACTGCAACAATTGCAGCAGCAACACAAACAATAACAGCGCAGAAAAAAGTGCATCGCATATATTAAACACACAAAAGGAAAGGAAAATAGAGGTGAAATCGCCCGGTTTGGAGAGGCGCAAAAGCAAACATTTCAAAAATCCTTTTTCCTTTCTCATTGCATGCCATCGTTAAAATGAAAAGTAGTGCGAAATTTTTAAGCCAAATCATTTTCACCAGCTCATTGCCGGCGCAGGTCATCAAGCCAGAAGCCAGAAGTCATGGCAAAATCAGCATAATAGTCTCAGCTAAATTCGTAAACTTTTTTATGTCTTATTCTGAATTAAAGCACGGCAGTGCAACTGGATCTGTTGTATTTTATTTGGCTTTTTACGTAGAATGCAGAACAGTTTAAGTTTCTTTCCACTTCATTCATTCCACGCCTCAAAGGGTTTGCAAAGTATAAAAGGTCCTCCAATTAGAAACGAGCTTATACGGATCTGCTATGAAATCTCCAAGAGTTAACGTTGTTTCCTAACTATATTCATTTGTGTCTTTTAATTAATATTAATGAATATAAAATCATTTATTTCGTTTGTTTGAATCGAAAAGCAGAGAAAGAATTTACACCTTATATCAGACAAGAGCTACTTTAGAAACTCGAAGAAAACAAATATATGTGAACATCTTTTTATTTCTATTTCGCTTTGATCTTCTCGCTAAATACTTCTACAAGTTCTGATTATTATATGTACCATGCTGCGTCAAAGTTACTTCTGTTCACCAAGGATAAATCTTCTTCACGCTTTTACTTTGAATTGAATGCTGGTATGATATAATTTATTTAATTTCAAGTGGAAAACTCTGGTTGGAAAAGTGCAAGTAAAAGCGAATCGGAAACTTTTTAATGACGTTTATTGATTAGTTTATTGCTGGCCAAAAGAAATCAAATCAAGAGCAATAAAACAAAGTTCTCTTAAGTTTGCTATTACAAATTGGTTAATGCAAGTAATAGTAAATGCTTTGTGGGGTGAAAATGAAATTTACGGACAATTAATTTGTCAGAGAATGTCATTAAATTAGCTTTGCTTCATTTGATTTTAATTTTACTTAAATTGGTTCGGAAATACCAAATAAATACTTGGGAGCTGCGAGACCTGCCAAAGCTAAGTAATAATTATTTGGCACTTGAAAATAATATGGTATTTATTAAGCACCACTTAGAGTCGGCCAATCAAATTTTGCGATGCCTGATAGCCAATGGGCAAATTAAAAGTTAATGCCTCGTCTTGGCAAAGGTCAAGCAAAATAAGCTACTTGAAGCATTGCTGCTATTAGCCGACTTGATTAATGATTGTTGCCGCAGAAGCAACAGGAAAGAAATGGCAACGACGAAACAGACAGACAAGAGTTTCATGATTTATGTCAAACAAAAGACACACGCACCCATACAGAGAGAGAGACAGACAGACAGACAATGTCAGGGTGTTGCCATTGCTTAGCTGACCAGCAGCCAGCATGGAGGCACGAAACAATTATAGGCGCGTCAATTTGCAGGACATGCCCTGGATGTTGGTCTAACCAGAAGCCAACAAACGCTGGGAACATTATGAGGCATTTTAAAGATCTTTGCGGCTTAATAGACAATTAGCCAAAATAATAAAGGAGCACTGCGAGCGTTTTACATTTCAATAAAACTTCAATGGAAATGCAGCGCGAACAGCGCCGAAGGACTTCCCATTGAGCGCGAACTTGACGGCGCGTATAAATTACAATTATGTGTAATTAATCATCCGCCGACAGACTTCCAGGCGATGGCCAGCCGAGGTCTGCTTCTCGGGCCGCAGGCGTTTGTAATTTATTAGCAGTGCCACGGTCAAGACATCACTATCAACATCAACATCAATGTCGACATCGTTGCACAAGACGCAACATGCGGTCCAGCCGCACCTTGCTGTCTTGTGGGGCGTACGGCACGGCTGTCGAGTGGTCAATCACATGGCCACTTAGCCACTAAACAGCTAAGCGGAGGAGCAGCAACAATATCAACAACATCAACATCAACAACAACGTGACTTACAGGCGCTTTTAATAGCTGGGCAAATGGTTGACTGTGCCTCGTGCCGCACGTTGTTCCGAGCTAGTTGGCCATGGCGAAGGCAAATCAATGAATGGATATCATCCATTCAGACTGACGCATGGCCAAAGGGTTGCACAAACTCCTGGGAACAATACCAGACACTTTGGACCAGCACCAGCACCGCCACCAGAGCAGCAGAGCGACTCCATCAACGGCTCGTTCGGCTGGAAAACTTATTGCGCCAGAAGTAATTCTATAAAGAAAGCCCAGTAGCTACATGCCTCTCTATCACGCGATATCTATCCGGCTCTGTCTAACTGAACTGAATGGCTTGTTTAGTTTTCCTATTGAAAATTGCTGAGGGCCAGTGTTTTGGTTGGTGTCGTTGACGCTGCTGCAAGCGCCATGCTATTTTGGTTGCAAATACTAAATTGAAATATAGAATATAGAAATACGCTTGCTGCAGATATATGTGTATATACAAAGAAGCGATCGATTTTTTGGGGAACGTGGGCTATTTACAGCTCGGCCAGCAAGCCAGCCCAAAGGCTAGAATTTCGACTTGGGGCTGTAGATTGACAAAAATATTCGATTACCAGCATCGAATTTTCGGTAATTTGCGTTGCCCAACAACGGTCTTTGGTTTGGGTCTGGGTTTGGATTTGGCTTTCGGTTTGTAGCTTAGCTGATTCGAATTTTGGACTGGTGAAATTTTGTAAAAATAAACATAATTTGATTAGTTGGGTTCATTCGCACGACACAAGCACACACAGGTTGGACACAACCCGTTAGCCTGCTGCCCGAAATTGATTTTTCTTCAACAGTTTTATTCGAACAACATTATTTAATAATAAACTTTGGCACTTTTAGCAATTACAAAGCCCGGACGACGGCATGCAACCGGAATTGCGAAGCCAGAAGTTGAGTTGGGGCTCACTCAAGCCTGAAATTTACGTTCACGCCTGCATTGTTGGCCCACAGCCTGGCCTACACTCATGCTCTTACCCTCGTCCAGTTGCCTGTCAGGGGCATGCCCATACCCACGAGCTGCTGGGCTTTGGCGTTAGACTGTGGCTGTGGCCACTCTCGTTTATTTATGGTCCGTTTCGCATTTGTTTGGAATTCAAATATTACTATGTGAACAAAAATAGAAGTCCATCGTTAAATTGTTTACTTATATTGCATTAAGATAATAAATGCTCGATGGTTTTATGGTGGGGATTGTTGCAGCTGACGACTGTTATTATTATACATATATATGAGCAAGAGCAAATGGTAGGAAGGCTAATGAAAATATTTATCAATTAATGAAACTCTAATATAAACTGAGCATAAACACAATCTGGCGGGGTATCATGACATTTTGGCAAACTGTCAAATATAATTTGCCTTTTTGGCACGCACAATAAAAGCGAGCTAATTGGCTGTGAAAATTATTTGGAAATTGTGAATTAAACAGCAACAATTATAATAATAATTATTGGAATTTATTCAAATTGATGAGTCATTATAATAATTGCTGCTTATGAATAATAAAATGTGTTCATTTGAACGGTATGAATTTTATTTATAATTAATTCATAAAAAGTGGTTTGTTGTTTGTTCATAAATATTAGAGCATATACAGCAAACATTTCATTCACATAAATTTAAATGTTTTATATTTGGAAGACTGTTTTGTATTTAGAATCGAAAGTTGAAAAAAGTTTCAATTTTATTGAATATGCAAAACTTTTTGGCATAGGTCTTTAATACTTTGAAACTTATGGCTATGTTTTGCCAGGGCTTAAAAGTTTTGGACATTTGTCTGAGTGCTACTACTAAAAAGTAGCAAATTTTGTGTCTTTGGCTGAGGACTGACATTTAAACTTAAAAGTTTCTTCTATAATTTCAGATTTTTTAAATAGTCTGCCTGAAAACATGAAAAGTTGAAATAAATAAAAGCTTTTTTAAATCAGTTTGAACTGTAAATATGTTAAAAGACAACACACCAACTATACCGCTTTTTCATTAGCGCATAACTTTAGTTGCAGGTCATAAAATATGCTTTACGACAACTTTTACACAAGACACGATAACCAACAGAGACACAAGGTTGCTGCAAAAACTAAGAAACTAAATAGGGCTGACTGACTAGAAGACACTGCATAAAAAGTAAAACGAGTATTTAAATTCCCATATTCACTAAAGTAATTCCTGCGGCTTAACTCAATGTCACGATCGATGAAGTGTACCATCTTGGAATGTTCTCAATCATACTATTTTGTACATCTACTTCGCCGCTAGTATAAATTTTTATGTTTCACAGAGTGCAGGGTATGAAAGGCGCGCTGCAGAGAAATGTGGCTTCGATGGGCGGACGGCTACGATGACGCGGTAATTCAATTTGGGTTTAAAATTGCAAGCTATGTGTTCCTGCATGTTGAGGCGAAACTCTGCCTTAACAGAGGTCTATATATACATACATAAATTGTCATATGTATATATATAAAAGTATCGGTAGCCAATGGAAAATGAAATGGCAAGCAGTGGGTACGTGCAGAGAAATACTCAGGAGTCCCTATCTCTGTTCTTATCACGGCTTTTTAATTAAAATGCATGTCATGCAAGTCTCTTTCGTGTACTTGTAAATCGATTGAGTGCAGTTTAAGTTAAGTAAGCCGTGACAGTAAGCAGAGAATGGAATGAGAGGTGGTGTATCCAAATGAAGGATTAATTAATCATTGTTATTTTGTGTGCGAGTTGCAATCAAAGAGGAGCAGAAGATGAAGAACCAAAAGTTCAGTCCACTTGGCTTTAAATATACTCTGTGACCGCTCAGAACAATTGTATGCCTCTCTTGTCGCTTTTGCAGTACATTTTTGATTTGAAGCCGTTCAGCAAAAGTTTCGTGCCATTCATCAGTCAGCCAGTTGGAGCGAAGCGACCCAAAAGCAACTAAAACTTTCCACCAAAAGTCGGCTTGAAAATTGAATTTGTTTTTCAATTAAATTGCCATAATTGAAATGGCATAAGCCAAACACAAAATGGCAATAGCAAACAGCACGGAGAGGCGAGATCCGAGAGCCGAGAATCGAGACTAAAGCATCGTGAATCCAGTCCAAATGTGCATTATGAAAATTCGCAGTAGCGTTGAAAACTTTTGGCCATAGGCGGAGGCTATGAGCATTTTGTTTCCCACACAATAGCTAAAGCAGGGCGTGGCCCGTTAGCCAGGTGGCTGAATGTGACTAAGCCGACTGAGCTGCGGTGTGGTGGGTGGCAGCGAGTTGTTGTCAAAACTTTACTGCACTGTTATTGTTGCAGCTCGGGAAACTTTTGCCGTCACAAACTTGGGCACTGCCACAAATGGTAAAAAAGACACATACAGTAGGAAACTTTATGTGGCAGCTGAAAATTCGCTGGGCCAGCTTGAAGCGCTTTAAGTTTTTGCCAAATGCCAAAAATTGCGCATACGCAGAGTTGCCCTTGTTAAAAGTCAAAGTCGCTGCATTGCTAGGTCAGCGGGGCAGCTGCCCCTGCACTTGGCCACAAAATGCCGTCCACAAGGTCAAGGTGTAGGTCGGGGCAGCCAGCTGTACACCATCTTTATCTAGTTAGCCCGTGTATGCAAAATTTTTGACATCCATCAAACGCTTTGCCGAAATCCAGGCGCATAAGCAAAAATTGTGATTAAAAGCGTGTTTTTATGAAGCATTGGGTCGTGACCCAGGGCATTAAACGGAAACCCCAAGCGAATGTATAAATTAGCACGCCCCACAACGCTGGCAATAAAACGTTTTGAGCTACGTATACGTAGAAGTGCACGTTACGTCTACGTAAACGTAATACGAGCGACCAGCGCTTTTGCTGAAAGTAGGCAGCCGAATGACACGCGCCAAGGAAAATTTGTAGAAAGTCGTAAAACGAAATAAACACTTTAAGGCGCAAAGTCATAAAAACACCAAAATATATTCAACGCCCAGAGGGTGTGGCGGGTATTATTCGGGTATTATGAGTGGAGAGCGTTTCGCATGGGTCTGCGTGCCACTAAAGTTTCACTAAAACCCAACTAGAGCTCAGGACGACATTTTGCGTGAGTTATTGCCCACTGTTGACAACTGTTGCGCGGTGGGTTCGACTTACGTTTTCGCAGTGGATGGGAGCAACCAGCCAACCATAGGAAGGGTTAGTGGCAGCTGCAAGGTTCTCAGTTCAGTTTGTTCAGTTCGTCGTTCACTTTGCAAATGAAATGTCAATCTGTGCAGCGTGGCAACCACTTAAAAACTCCCGAAAAAAATGTTTCAAATGTAACTGCCAGTCAGCTCGTGGCAACGTCAGCCATTCATTCATCCATCCATCCATCAATCAATCAATCAGTGTGCTTTGCGCGCGTAAGCCTGATGGCCAAGTTCGTTGGCTCCTTCGCAATCGACATGCAATTTATGCGAAACGTTGACATTTATCGCCTGACATTTTGAACTCTGTGCACTCACATTATTTGATTTGTAGTTTTGCTCAAAGCGCACGAAAAGCGTCCCGTAGTGTAAATATAAATAAATTGTATACAAACATTGAAAGGTCTCAAAGCATATATGTATCTAAAGGATTTTTCAAAGGGCTGCTACCTTGTTAGCTTTTCAGATTATTAGGCTGAATTTAAAATTCAAAATTTAATGTTAGCCAGCTATTAAATAGAAGTTCTCAGTGACAAGGACCAAGTCTTATTGCATCGAATGGAATGTAAATCGTATGGATAAAATGTGTCAAAAATGATTTAATTATGTGACGACTTTTAACGCTTAATATTCAAGTTAAAAATTTAAAAAAATATTAATTGAATCCTTAGGACTTTTAAACTTATATTATTTATGACACTCTTGATTCTCGAATTCAATTAAAGGACTTTTCAATTGTGTAAAGCTTTTAATGCGAGAGCCATTTTTTTAAATGTTGCTTTAATTGCAGGTAAATGTTTATTTAACATTCATTTGTGTTATTTTATTTATTTATTTTTTGTAAATCGAACAGGCGCAGTAATTGAATTGTATTTGTATTTGCATTGAAATTTTAATTGTTTGCTCTGGCTGTTGACACTGATGGTTGTGTATATATTTTTTCTCTTTTGCCGAGGCTTACTTTGAGTCTTTGTGGCAAATAATTGAATTGCGAAAGCAATTACAAGAAATCTGTTTGTTTAAGCAACAGCATGTGCAACGGTGCGTATGCGCAATGCAGCTAGTGGGCCATCAAGCAGCGTCTGTCGACAGACTGTTAAAGCACGACCGATTCTTTGTTCGCCAAATATGCTAATGAACGGGCATCTTTAGTTTGTTTTGCGCAACGCTGCGCTGATTGAGGTCTACCAAGCCAGGCATCCAGGGACCCATTCGATTGTTATCATGCACGGCACGTAGCGAAGTAAGTACAAATATATGCATGTACACAGTAGCATGGAGCTCGCTGACATAATTACAGAACACGCACACTCAAATTGGCCAACTTCCTGGCCAATCGTTTCCAAACAAAAAAAAAACGATAAATATTTCAATTAAGAGTCGCAAAAAATCAATGCCCAAAATCAATGACGCCTAAAAAGCCAAAAGCAAAGAGCGCTCCAAGCGAAATGCAATGCCAAGTAGAAAGGTTCAACGTTGCAGGAAAGTAAGCAAATGCGAATCTTCAAACAAATTGAAGAGATTGGAGTTCAAGCAGCCAAAAAATAAGAAATAAAAAAATGGAAAAAGTGGAAAAAGAGGCAGAATAAGGAGCAAGATACCCTAAAGATGGTTGACATGCTCTTACGCCCCCCATAGCAAATACATCTATAAAGAGTTTGGCAAAGACAAAAGGCGAGTGAAAGCCCGTACGCGGCACTTCCAAGGGTGCGAGGTGTGGACGCAATGCAACCTTGTACAGAATTGTGTAACCAGAAATGAGCACAGCAATGCGGCCTCTAAATATAACCACATATTACAGGCGCGTGGCGTTTTTGCTTAGAATATTTATCATGCCATTTGCCATTTGGGCGGGCTACAAACACCAAAGTCAATGCCAATCGCAGCGGCAATAGCATTGACAATGGTGTCTCCATCGCAACTCCTGCCGCTACCGCGGTGCGTGCTGGGCACAGTAGTCGCGCAGCGCAATTCAAGCCTTTCCCTGAGTTACAGCCACAGCTCCCAACTTCGATGCCGGAAAAGTTGGCACGTGCGATCAACATGTACGGCGCAAACAAAAGTGGAATTGATTGCGTGCCAGATGTTAAAAGGAAATGAGCCAAAAAGCTTTGGCAAGCCTTACCATACACACAAAGGCGGTGGGCGTGGCTAAATGAATGAGTGAATTCCTTTGCTGTACGAGCCAGTATAAATAAGTATATTGTAATTAAAATGACGACAGCAGCTGCTTTTAATAAACTGCCAAAACAAATATTAAACAAAACAAAAATAATAAGAAGCAATAACAGCTTGCCGAGAGGATACCCTGTGGTTTATATATCACTTAAGAAAGCGTAAAGGAAGTTACCATTACAGAGATACTGGAATTTGTATTAAGAAATAATTGAACATCATTCATAAAGAAAAACAATATGGAACCAAGTTACACCAATTTTTTGACTTTTAGCAGTTCTTTGTGATTTTTTGGAAAAGTACGGAATATTCCTCTAAATACATTTGAACTGCTTTATACCCGTCTGGGCCAATTTAAATGCTATTGGGTATAAAAAGAAGACATAAGCTTGATTGCGAATATTTGAGCGGATTGTCAGGGACTACACATAATTAACAGAGCAAAGAGTTGAGTTGCGCAAAAGAGGCGGTTGAAGGATGCCGCAAGGGATTTCAGCATACACAAATACTTAAGTGAAAATGTATCTGAAGCCTCAACCGAAGGCAAAGCAAAGAAGTAGAAATGTTGAGCTCTAGCAGCGTAATTTTTCATTATATGACTAAGGGCTGAGAGCAGTTGGTGTTGTTTGGCATGAAAAGCAAACTGTTTACATTTGTTTCACTTCAGCTGTCGGGCAAGGACTGAGCGGGGGCCACATGTTCATTATCTTCTGGCTGTCAGACAGACAGTAGGGGAGCGAGTGGAGCAGCCAAGGTGTTATCGCCGTCAACAATGCGAATTCACATTATGGCGCTTCAGGTGGGGCTCATTAAATCATTCGGTAATCAGAGCCCAACGCTTTGGTTAACCTTTCTAACGACCTCTTCAGCAACTTGGCTTTCCTATTGTGCTCAAATTTCGCGTCTGCCAATCACAGTTGAATACTAATTAAAATTTCAAAATGACGTTGAAGTGTGCTTCGTAATTATTCAATATAATTAAATATTTTTCTGCCGCAAAACTATCGATGAAAATGTTTTGTTTCAGCCATGCAGTGCACGCTGGAATGTTTTTTTTTTATTTGCCATCATATTTCTTTTTTTCCTCATTATAAAACAAATCAATGAATTACTTCAAATCGGAACTGCCAATAACAGCATTTGATTTTATAAATGTGATGATTGCAGTTATCGTCAATCAAAACTCTTATGTGGAACTTTTATTAAAATTTCTGTAACAGAAATAAATCTATGCACAAATAAACGCGATAAATTTGCATAAATATAAATCCGATTGAGAAACTCGATACCAGAATAAGCTAAACGGTAAACATTGCATTGTGTATTGCGGAGGGATTTAAACATTATACTTATAATGCTCGTAAATCGTTATAATTTTTTGACTGATTTATGACTGCAGTTGGCAGTTTTGTGCCACATCTAATGTTCAACGCTGCTCAATGCCACATAAATTCCCATCAATAATTCAAATCTAAAGCTTTGTTTGCCACCCGTATATGGCCCTTGCCAGTGAGCGCTGAGTTGTATGCTACGTTTTGTTGCCACTTGTGAATGGGAACTATGTCAAACCGTGTGTGTGGAGAGTGTGAGTGTGAGTGTGTATTGTCCGTTTTTAGAAATATATATTTAACGTGTGTCATTATTTGACTTAGCTGCTGTACCTTGTCAAGGGGTCAAAGGAACACTTAATCCGTTCGAGCGTTGGCCACATTCAAATTGTGTTATACTGTTTATAACATTTACTGATAGCTGCCATAGCATGGCTAAATCGTAACAAAAACTTAACAGTTTAACTATTCAGAAGCTCTTTGGTGTGGGGATCTTAGACCTAATCACGACTCGGTTGTTAGTTAGTAAGTAGTTTCATACAGTTATGAAGATATAACTTATGGCTACGGTTAAGTATAAACACTCTTAGAAATAGCGGTTAGTAGATTGCTTAGGATTCTAGGATGCGCTGATAATACTTACAGGTTTTTCACTTGCTTTGGGATTAGTTAATCGTGCTTTGGGCTGGGATTGCTACGCATTTATTGATGCGTGTAGGAACCCAATTTCTGACCAATTTTAGACCAGCTCCGTTTCCATTTGTGCGGCCTCCACGGTCTCCACGATGGTTGTTGTGGCCGCCGCGACCGAATCTCATGGAACGTAACGGTTGGTCAATGCGCCATCATCATCATCATCCACATTGAGGCCACTGTCGGTGCAGCAGCAGCTGCACAAGAGCCAACTGGTTGCATTGCAGCAGCGTTTTGGTCAAATTGCAGATACCTGCTCCAGCTCGGCGCTGGAGCGGCCCGAGTTCATGACCACCACATTCTTGGCGGCATAGTCCGTGATGAAGCGGTCGCTATTGCGTGGATGTATATTGCCCACGTCCTGGGCGCAGCACCACGGATTACGCATTGTCAGTATGCGCTTGAACGCATCCCGGAATTCCTTGTTGAAAATTGAGTAGATGATCGGATTGAAAGCGGAGTTCGAGTAGCCCAACCAGGTAAGTATCTTGAATGTCTGGCCGCCGATGCACGTCTTGCAAAAGGCAGCCGTAATGTTGACACAGAAGAATGGCACCCAACATATGAGGAATACGCCCATTATGACGCCCACTGTGACCGCTGCCTTGTGATCGGATACGTGGTACGGCGAGCTGTGATGCAAGTTGCGCACCTTGAACTTCTTTGGCTGATTCTTGGGCCGGCGTATGCTCTTGTACCGTTGCTTCTCGGCCACCTCGCCGGGTCGTGTTACCGCCTTTATAGACTTGACATGTTTCTGGGCATAGCAGTAGAGTCTGACAAGTGGAAAAAGCCAGGGTTTAGGTTATTCAAATGCAAATAGGTACATATTACCTAAATATTAGACATTAAACTAAAGGTAAATGAATCAAATGAAATTAGCCTTAATTTAATTTTCAATGTTTTTACATCATTTGGATTTGTGCAGTCAAAATTCATTAATTTAGTCGATGTTGATTTCCTGTTTTATTAGTTAAATTCTTGGGCTTGGGTTCCATTCTGATTATAAATTACTCTGTAATTATTCTACCTATTCATAAAATTCTTTTTGTAACATGGATATTGCCCTTAAGCAGCTTTTATCTAATGAAATATACTCCACTTTGTGTGAGTGCAGTGAAGGGAATTCGATATTTAGCTGTCTAATTTTAAGTCAACTGAGTGTTTGCGACTGTCTGCTGTTGTTGTAACTGATATGATAATTATTTACTTGTCTTGGCATGCCAATTAAACAGCCTGCCCCGGGGAACTCTTGTTGGGCTAGCCACCTTGTTCGCCCACAATTGACAAATGTCTGGGGCACATAACATAGTGCGTATACTTAATATTTGACATGGCTGGTTTGTTGTCTGTGTACTGGCTTATACAGGGCACGTGCTTGGTGGCTCGTTTACTGATCAGCAAGGATACATATGCTCTGGCCACACAAGAAAAAGGATAACAAGGCTGTGCACAAATTATGATGATAAAAGTCTATTTATTCTGTAATTTAACCGAAATTTGATAGAACATTCCAATGACAGCAGCCAGACAGACACTCTAGTCGATGTCATGAGCCCCGAACTTGATGGGCGGTAGAAAGCGCTCATGGGCTCATGGGTGTAGCCAGCAGCTTGTGTCCATTTGTTGCGTTCGCCCATTGGCCGCAAATCTCGTTAAGCTAAAATGGCAACGTGCCACTCGCCGACGGGTATATTGCTGATGAGCAGCCATATCGAAGTGCTGCTGTTGTAGTTGTCTTTGCTGTTGTTGCTGTTGGTGTTGATGATGTTGGCGTCCGGTTGCCCTCCTTGGTCGTTTTGTCTAGCCCTTTTTGCACACGCCCCAGTCTTTGACCGCCGGTCCGCCTTTGGCTCTGCTATGGGATTACTTAGCTGGACACTAATGCGTGCGCTTATTTGTTTGCCTTATTTCCCGTCCTCGCAACAGCCAGCTCGCACTTATCCCTTCTCGTGCCTGGGCAACATCAGCTCCAAAGTCCTTGCGGCCTTTCAGCATTGCGACAACAATTTCGAAAGTGTTTACCACATTTTATTATTTACGTTTTACGACTTTGCGAAACACATAAAAATATTCAAATTCTTATTATTTTTTCCTTGAGCCCCATTTGATAGTTGGCACGGTGAAACTTAACCTTATTCTCAGCTAATGTTTTTGAGATTAATGAGCCTAATTAAATGTGTTAGGGTCTACTTGTTAGACCTATTCCTGGGAACTAGGTTATATATAATTTGTATAAAATGAAGGTTAATTTCATAGCAAATTTTTAATATTTAACAAAATTATAACAGGTCAAATAAATGTTTAAGGTAAGAGTATTTTTTTGGCCTACAGTTGGGGTCGTTTCCGACACGCGCCGTCAAAGCAAATATCATTTCAAACTTTTCGCATTCCTGTTATTGCCAGGAATTTCATTTTCTTGTGTGGCTTTTCTTTTTGTTTCTAATGTCATATTTTAGCGCTGAATAATTGTGCAATTGCGGCTTTTGGGCCAACTATAAGTACTTTACGTGCACATGTTTCAGAGCATTTTATGACATCCATCGGCCTTTTTCGTCCATACTCACCGACAGTAAATGCCAATCATGACCACGCAGGGAAAGTAGAAACTGATACAGCTGGAGACGACAGCATACGTGGGCGTCAGATCCAGTGCGCATGTGGGGTACTTCTTGCCATTATCCTCGAAAATCAGCGGCTGGTCTGGTCGATGGATCCCCAGCGAGATGGGCACAAACGAGACGAACGCTGCCAGCAGCCAAATAGCTGCAATGGTAATAACAGCCACCCGGCGTGTCACCCATCGTCCGTATCTGCAATGAAAGCGAAGGAAAGGTGCACATCAATTTGGAGTATAGGAAGTTGTTGTGATTGCTCCTTGCGGTTGCCAGCAGCAAAGGGTAGGCAACAAAAACAAGAACTCAGCATGGTAGCAGCAAGTCACTAGAAAATGGGCCTTGTTGTGATTGTGGCTTTGCATGTTGGAGGCAGCTGGGGCGACATCAGCTCTGGGGCGTTTGCGACAAGTGTTGGAATACAGCGGCCAGAATCCAGTTAGCCCAAGGTGTGCATGAGGCGTAGCTGCGTTCGTGTAATACGCACAGTGGAAAGGCCTTGTTGCATGTCATTAATTACCCGAACAGAATAGAACAGAACAGTCTGCGGTAAATCGACCTAAACCGAAACCCAGCCGCAGCACAAACCAACGAAAATTAAGCATTCGCAAACGCAATATGGTGATAGTGACGTATGCAAATCGTGGTGTGCGGTTTTTCATAGCACTTCGATTTTGACAGCGGACGCACAATTTGCTTTTACAGCAGCGGAAATGAGCAGGCAGAAACCTAAGGCTGTTGGCATTTTATGTGCGTGTGTGTGTGTGTGTGTGTGTGTGTGTATATATTGCCTTTTGCCGCAGCATTTTGGCTTGTGCAAATGTAACCGCTGGCTGTGCGATAGACATGGGGCAGGAAATCAAACAGAATAATTCGATTTCAATACAAAGACGCACTCACCCAATGCGCCGACCAAAAATACTACAGATGACAAGCTAGCGTTACGAAACGGAAAAGGAAGTTTAGGTAATTGTATTCACAAACAAATTCGATTTCATATGGCACCAAAATTGATTTCCATTCGAGCAGCAACGGCAGCAGCCCGCAGCGGTTGCCATTTAGTTGGCATCTAGCCCAAAGCCTATTCAGTCCCTATTTGGGTACAGGTAAAAGGAGGCACAGGCGTTGCCTGAAAGTGCAAACACCTGGCACCCATATCACCCATCAGACTTTGCTATGCAAGTGCCAAGTGGCGTCACACGCGCCCATTGATAGAGCAGCCAATCGTGTCTCAAAGAGCTAATTGAAAACGTGTGTGTGCCTTAGCCCCAGAGCAAAATTGGCCGCATTTGCATTTAATGTTGCCAGTGTGTGTGTGCGTATGTGTGTGTGGGTGTGTGTGCCACACGCACTTAAGAAATTACAGTCAGGCACGCACAATGACAACCATCTATTTTGCTTATGCTTGCAGAGGGGTAAGACTGCATAGTTCGGTTAACTTGGGCGTTTATTTTGTTTGCCACTTGTCATGTGATGTTTTATGAGTTTTTGCGAGCGTGCTTAAATGTTGCAAGCACATGCTGTTGCTGCTGTTGTTGCTATTGTTGTTTTCAAGTGTTGCAGGCATATGACAGTGTGCTTAACCCAAAACCAAACCCACGCCCAACCAGGCCAAAACACACAATTACAAACATTCCCCAAAGCGACATTCTCGTTGGCCTTTGTCGCTTAACTGTTGTACCTCTCGCTCGCTCATGCAAAACCAATTCAGTTCGCCGTCTCTCTCTGGCCACCATAAAAGTTGGCGTCACTTTTTATTGCAGTTTAAAGTGAATTTTATGCATGCACTCATATGTTCGCTCTGGGCCTGACAGTTACGATGATAACAGACGCTGCCAGCTTTAATTTTATTGCACAAAACAAATTTTTTTTCTTAATTCTACCATTATTTTAACTTTGTCATCGCCTGCTTCTAATTAGATTTGCACGCGCTTTTCATTCAAATTATGTTTTTAGTGCCTTTTTTTAGCCAATTTTTGCTGGCAGCGCGCAAATCTTGGCAGGCGCAATTAAATTAAACGCTTGCAATTATTCTAAGACGCTGAGAAAATATGCCAAAATTTTTAGCTGCAAAGTTGGCCACCCTAATGAGACGCCAGCGCTGGCAGTTCGCGAACTTTGGCACGTCGGGCAGCAGCAAGAAACACTGAAGAGCTCAAATGCTGTCCCCACTTTGACATGCAAATAAATCAGATTTGCATAAAGACCAACGCCTGCTGGGCCAGCATTAATACCGCTAGACAGGCAGTATTCAGAACCAGACGCAAACGCCCATCAACATCCAGGCCGTAAAAATAATATAAATTTTCTTCGGCGTGGCGAAGATTAAATACACTTGAAGATGCGGTTTTTAATTAGAGTTTTTACATTGTCTTTCTAAATAACATTGCACATTCGATCAATTGGATATGCTTGTTATGTTATTTTTTTTTTATTTTAGATATTTGATATGTCTTTGTTATGCAGCTTCAAAGAGTATTAAAGAAATAGAGTCATAAATGTGCTGTTACGCGTGGTATTTTTGCTGCCAGAGAGAATCACAAGGGAGTTGGGCGTGGCATTCTCGCAGGAGTGCTAGGCAGGGTTTTGGCGCCTCAAATAAGGGCCGTAGACACACTCGGGTCTCAGTATAATGGACTTAGGCGCAGGGGTACGCAGTAGCCAAACTAGATTTAAATGTATTTAAATTGGCCTGTAGGTCAAATGCAAAATGGAAAAATGGAAAAAACTGCGCAATGCCTTTGTTTCTCCTCAAGCAACATTCAGTTAAGGGACAAAAATTGTTGTGCCTGAGATAATGAAAAGTAATATAAAATTCTAAAATATTTCCCTAAGAAATTCTCTCAACAAATTATTTTTAGCTACAAAATGTAGCTGTTAACTCAATAGCATACACAGCTTGATTAAGTTGAACTGCCATTTATCTCAAAAATGATGGCTTAATAAATTTTCACTTAATATAAAAAACTTTTCATGGCATAATTAAGAGAAGCTACTGTAGCAGCTTTGAATCACTCTAAAATTAATGAAATTGCCAGCAAACTTTTTGCATTCCGTTGTTTTGGCCAGCAAAAAATATGCCACCTAAATCCGCAGTTTACGAGCAAGTCCACTTTGGCAAGTGGATGAAGTACTTCAACTCGTTATGTTCAGAGAAGGTTTCCAAATAAAAAATCTAATTTAATTCACAAACACACACATGCCAACAAAGAGGGCGTGTGGCGATTCTATACGAATGTTGTGTAACATTTTTAATAAACGACCAAACTGTAGCTTGCGGCATGTCAGACGTGGCAGGTGCAAGTGAAGCAACAAATGCCAGTAAGCTAGAAAGTAAGCGCATAAATAGACAGACGATGGACAGCAAGCAGCGGGAATGTGGTGGCTGGTGATGGGCTAAATATTTTGATACCCTGAACCCATTGAAAATGAGAAAAAAAAGGGTTTAATAACTTTGTGAAAATGTATGTGAAAGGCAGAAGGAGACATCTGCAACTCCATGAAATAGTTTTTGTCATCATGAATAGCTAGGTGTATGTAGTTGAGTCCGTTTGTTTGTCGGACTTGAAATTTCAAATTAAGTCCATAGATATCGATATCGAAAACCTATTCTTTGAACACATTGTATAGCTTACAAGAACTAGAATGGTATGAAACACGAAAAATGTTACTCTTGGCATGCTTTACATAATATAGTGCAATTGTCAGAAAAATTGGGCAGTGAACACCACAGTAAATCACAAATATATATTCCATAATGTTATGCTAAGGGAGGAACAATCACAGCCGCACCAAATAGCGCTGCCTGCTTGATTGCAGGGTATCCCCTATTCGCGCAGTCTCCACTAGAGCACTCTTATCTGTGCCACTCTTGGCTTGTGCTGAAAATAGCATCAAAGGATTTATTATGGCTCTTCGCAACAGCGACAGCAGCTGCCAGCGTGCTACCCACAGCCAGAAATGTCTCGTTGTCATATGTGGAGAACAGCTTTTTTTTTTCAAACGATGACCACTTTCTACCACCCGCTGGCCATGCCCCTAACAGCCGCTGAGCCACATTAATTTCGTTTGTATAGCTGCTGTGAATTTGTCTTTGGCTGTCAGCGACTTGGCCCCCGTCATTTTGAACAATACGCACACACAGTAACACACCCACAGCCACACACAACTAAGGGAGGCACGTGTATGTGGCTAGCGAAGAGTTTGTTGTTCCTTGCCGCTGACATGTCATAAATTTTTCGTTTGATTTTGTCAAAAAATTGTTTTATTTGAGCTTCCGAATTTTGGTTGGTTTCCCGTTTTGTGGTTGCGGCGTTGCCAAAAAAAAAATTTAATTAACACACAATTGTTGTGTCACAATGAGGCCCAAACGAAACGCTGATAAAGTTGTTTCCACTTTCTGTATTGGCCATTGTCCGTTCCTGCTTCTTGTTTCGACAGGCAGTGGAAGCTCTGCTACCACAAAGCAAACGTAACACGCAACTTGCAAGTTGACTGTTGAGTTGAATGCAATATAAGCAGCCGATCAAGACGTTATGTCACACCCAGGCATTAGACACGGCACAGCAACGCTTGAGAGCAGCTGAGTTGGCACAATTTCATTGTGTTTGTCAAGCACACACATATGTACTTACAGGGAAACACATCTATGTGTGTGTGTAAGTGTGTGAAAGCTTAAGTTTAAATTGGTGGCAGCAGGTGAAATTCGTGCACCTTTAAGAAATAACAGAACTCGAACAGCGCTAATGGCTGGAATTCTTTATGACCTAAGCGAAGGAAGTACATAAAAATTGAGTGGCAATTTCCTAGAGTACTTAGCTCATATAAGGCTAAAAAGTCTATGCTCAATTCTGATCTTTTTGTCATTCGCCTAATCGCGTGTAGGTTATACTATTAGGGCTACAAGCTGAATGTTCTATTTATAAGCATATTTCATTTATGAACGTGGGAAGACTATTAAACAAATAGGGCAAGAGAAATACATATAATGGTTGTGGCCTTTTATATTTATGCATTGAGTTGGTTTTTGAGAAAAAATTATTTTCTGACTGTTTTCGGGTAACTACAATTAAAGGTACAGCTTATGCTAAAATATAAACTGCAACGCCGACCCCGAAATTTCAATTCTCTACTAGCACACTTAATTTTTTTTTTAAGAAAAAGGTCATTTGGATATTTCAATCAGGAAAGTACAAAAGTGCCGAAGTTATTGTGTTCAGCTTTCTTTCAGTTCCGCCATAGATGGTCAATTGAAAAGCTATTAGGATAGTCGTTTGGCTTATTGGAATGACTTGCGGAATAAGTTGAAGTATATACTAAGTGCCTGTTTGCCTAACTAAAGCCACAAATCAGGGGCTCGTGATGCAGCAAAAGTGCTTAATAAAGCTTAGCACACAGCGCAGAAAAATGAAGCCACATCCATGCGAAGAGTGTACTGTTCCTGCTAGCAAGCAAAAAATAAATAAAATATTGTTAATGCCCAATAAATCTGTTACTAATGAAACAATTATGTGCTGCGATTAATGAGAGGCGGCGCCATAAACAAGTCGAGTGCCTGAAGCACCACAAAGTGAACGACCAAGAGCTGGCAATGAGAAACGTGACGTGCATGGCAACACGACGGATGAGCAATATGCATGAGATAGACTGATGCTATTGCAGCAGTGGGGCTGGGGGGCAGTCTATGCCACTTGGCAGGTCTGTTTTTAATAAATCGATATTTAATCGGGATTTCATTGGAGCGTCAATGTCACATCAATAATATTTTCCACTCACTTGCTGACAGACAACAAATATGCGCTGCTTTCGGCTCTAAATACATATAACTCTGGTACTCAATACTAAAATCAATAGAGGGGGGGCAGGGACATACATGCTCGTTTAGTACAGGACATTCTACTGGCCGGGGACCGATGCACAATTAATTTCGATAGATTCATGTGGAGAACGCGATGACAGGCTGCTGTAGCTATTGATAAATTGTGTAATTCATGCATGTGACAGTTTCATCAGCGTTGTCATCATCATGATTAGTTACGGTACTCACCTGAGCGGGTCCTTGATGTGTATGTAACGGTCCATGGATATGGCGCACAGATTCAAAATAGATGCCGTCGAGCACATGACATCAAAGGCCACCCAAGTATCACAAAACTCTGCACCAAAGATCCAATAGCCTGAAATACAACAAAAAATTTTAATAGTTGAGCTCTTGATTGATTGATTGATTGATTGGCCGAATGATTGACTAACTGCCGGACTGATTGCTTGTGAAAAATACTTAATAACTTTTTGCATACGACTGATCCACTGGGTAAATGCAATGTAAGTGGATAAATACGAGCTGGAGCGGAAATTGCCATGTTCCGGTTGACAGGGGCAAGAGGGAAATTCTTAATTTTCTCGACAACGCCAGTAAATGTAACAACAGCATATGTAACGAGCAACAAAAAAAAGGCCACTGAGTCCATCGACTTAAATATCCCTCAGTTAATGAAAGGGTATGCTCAGAAAATGCAAAGTGACTAGCATGCTAGCATGTTAGTTTACCATGCAGCTTATCAAGTGCTCCATGTGAAGCATATATGTGAATATTTTAAATGTCCCTGTTGTCCTGTTCAAGTAAACTGAATCTGCTTGGAAAATTTTCAAATATATTTCCTCCTTGGAAAGGCTTACGAATAATGCTGTCACTCTGAATTAAATGTACAAGCATCGAATTCAGTTTGTTATCAAAAACAGAAACGTTGAAACTATTTTCTTGAGCGACTTACAAAATAATAATACAAAATATGATTAAGCCGAGAGCACAAGTTCTCTTCTCGGCTAAAATTCTACGGAATGTGGCTGTCGTTCAGGCTATCAAAACTATAGTAGTCTTGCAAGCATGCCAGTTTTTATTTGCTTATTCGTAACGCAAATTGAGTTTAAACGATTTCATAAATTAATTTCCGTTTCCCGTCAGCCTCAGCCTCTGTATTTCAATATGTTCATATATATACATATGACTCTTTGTGGCAGAAATAAAATGAGCCCTTTTCATGGCATTTCTGTAAGTGCGCTGTAATTATGAAAAAGGAATCGGAAAGCGATTCGAGCGCCCAGAACCTCGTGAAAGGTCTGGGCGTGCTCTGAACTAACAACCGAAACGGATGTCCGGTGCTGTGTCCATTGAACCCGTGTGGGAAATCACCATCGCACGCATAAATACATAAATGTGGGGTCACGATAAATTCAATATCAGATCTCAAAGCCAAACACATTTATTTACTACGCGTGGGTGGGCGCTGATTTCATGATATTTGTTGACATGCATACATCATGCTTATGATGGCTTTTATGCTGCGCCATGTGTGGCACAGGATATAGCTCTTTAGCGCTGAGTATGTGACGCGTAAGCAAAAAGGCTATGCCATCATTACAGACCGCTTTCAATAGTTATCTGCCATCGCACTCTACTGCAGATATCTGGCTGCAAGATATCGACTTCTCAATGGTTTCTTTATCGACTTTTTAAACGTGCTTGACTTTTTAATTTCCTTACAAGTACATAGTTTAATATAAATAGGAAACCTTGTGGCACAGGTTATTTTTTATAATTTATGTGTGAAAAGAACATTTCTCTGACTACAAACAGTTTATACCTGATATTTTTCAACGGTCGAGACCAACAAACTATGCCCCACTACCAAAATGAATTAATTGAAGCCCCCAATTTAAATGTTTTATAAGCATGTCAGTAAGTTATTTGATTGACATAAATTTAAAGTTTTCAATTTTAACCACTCAACCCGTTTATTCACTGATTGTGAGCGCCACATAGCAATCCAGCTGGGAATTGGTATCAATTATGCTCCGTTAATGCATACCCTTTGACAATTTAAAGCCGATGATAAATATTCTGATATGCCCTTTCAGGCCGTCTGTCAAGCTTTATGAGATATTGCGACAAGGATGATTTGTAAATATATATGTCTATATATACACACAAAAAAAAATGTATAAAATATGACACAGCATTGCAGGTTACATCCTTAGACTAGTGTGAATTCACATTCACATCTCTTGACAATGGCATTGTGAGTTTTTAAGCATTGCTCCCGGCTCCTTGAAACGAGCACTTACATTCACAGGCGGGCAAGTCGACGAATCGACAAATAATTCGAGCTGCTTTCAGGGCATACAGGTCTATATATATTTATAAATACTTAGTGCTTGTGCCCAATCTGCGATATGAGTATATTCAATGACTTTGCTTGTATATTTTGTGAACTGGCGCAGCTGTTGCCACCTCCCAGAGTCCCTGTGGCCTGTTGTTGCTCAAATTTGTATAAATATTCTGGAGCTTGTGCGTTTATTTGCTGATTTGCCAGCCTTGGAGCGTGCCGAATGTTGTTTTACTGGCACCCTCACAGGCTCATGTTTGCCGGCACTTTGTCGAAAATAATTTGGCTGAACAGCTCTCGATCCGCATGTGTACTACGACATATATGCTGGCCCTTAGGCACCTCAGCTGGCACTCCAGATGTTGTTTGTCTTCAACACTCTCGCAAGCAGAGTATTTTTATTTATTTTTTCACACTTTCCGCTTAAGCAGCAGCAGCAGCATCAGAAGTGCCTGAATCCAGGACCAAGTTCGGAATCCTTATTGAAGTAGCAAAGCCGTTTATTATTTTTACGCCCAAGCAGACAAACGGAATCACAAACATACAACTTCATATATGGCACACATAGAGACCAGTTTGTATCTCTGTTCTGTTCTGTTTTGCTGCCGATGTAACGCATCACTAGACTTCAGCACATTTCCTCCAACCTATGTATTTGTTTGTGCTTTGCCCTCTCATTGGGTACTCGCTGAATACGCATTGAGGCCAGCTGCACACTGTCTCAGGCCGAACATGTCATCTATATATTAGTTGTGGTAGCTCCCAGTTACTGCCAGCAAGTCTTCAAAGCGTCTTCGCCTATCGCTAATTTGCCAGCCATTTTCGAAGTCGTCCATTTAAGGCTTGAATTTAAATTTAAAGAACGCGATTTAACCACTTCAAATGCAAAACTCTCAAGAGAACAACTGCTTCGGTGAGTCTAAGCTTTCGCCTGCTGATAACCTGATAGCTCTGTCAACATCAAATTAAAAGACTTCAAGAATTCAAGGCTTCAGCTGCAGCTCACTTGGGCTCTGTCATTATGGTTGAGTGTAGTCAAAGCATAATAATTCCTATATAAAGCATGTATTTGTGGCTTGCAAGTAAACTTTGTATATTAGCTAAAAGCAGTGAAACTGAGGCTGAGCCATGGCAAAAAATGAAAATTCCTGTTGGCTAAGTAGTTTCACCTTTTTGCAGGCGACTGCATGCGGCGGCATGTGTATTGTGCACTCAGTGGAGGACTGGCTTTGTGAGCACTCAACCGGCGCGACAGTGCAGCTGACACTTTAAAAGGCACTGTACATAGCCCCACAAGATCCCCGCTTTAAGCGCTGCCAGGCATGTCAAATGGGCTCACACGAACGTCCCCATTACCCCACCAACTTGTTCCATTAGCCCCATGCAGGCGCAGTTTTTGCATGTTGTCGAGTGGTTTATTTGTGCGACAGCCTGCAGCATTTTACATAAATTTATTGCTCGGCAATTTCAATTGCAAATTTCCGTTACACTGTCTGCGAATGATATTCGTACTTACCAAGCAAATCGTTGACGCCCGCGAATGTCATCACCAGAGAGGCCACAAACAGATCCGCAATCGCTAATGAGGCCAGAAACAAATTGCCAATGCGGCGCAGGCTGCGCTCCGTATAGATGGCCAGGCAGACGAGTATATTGCCGGCAACCGAAAGGAATATCAGCAACGATAAAAAGACGCCTACGGCGGGGCAGAAAGTGTCAGATTAGATGTGTATTGTAGAAAGGAAACGTGAACATTCATAAATATAGCATACATAAGGGGGTCGAACCAATGACAAGAATGTGTGCGTGTGCATAAGTGTGTCCGCGTGCGAGTGTTTGTTTGTATAATAGGGCCACATGCGTTTCTGTGCGCTAATTGAACAGCAAATATTTTGTTGTGTACTGTGCAAAGTGGACAAGTACGCGTGCAGGTGGTGGTGATGGTGCGGATGATGCGAATGTTGCGGGTGGAGACGATGCCGGTGTCTGTTTCGCTTGTTAGACGTTCAACGACATTTACTTTACCAACAACTACAATTGACACAAGTGAGAGCGGTTCCGGTTCCTCACCAACTATTGTATCCATTTCAGAGGCGTTTGTCCAGCTCGTCTCATTGAAATACGATGTCAGCTGCAATGTCAAAAGGAGATAAAGAATATAATTTTAAGTGACTTTTAACTAAACCACAACAAAACTAACAAGTCTCTTATTCTATGGCCAGCCACTTTATTCTTGCATTGGCAACATATGCTTTGCCAGCCCATGCCAGCATATTATCCTTTGTCTCTGTGAATTTCCCTCTTAATTACTTGACATTTAAGTTGCCACATGGAAAACATGGGGCAACGCGGCTTTTTAGTATAAACAGAGTGCGGGGGCTACGGCAAGTTTTAATTAACATCAAAGGCTTTGACTTTGGCCTTACGCTAAACTAATTAAATATATAAATTGTGTATGTGACACAAACTGCTCGAGAATGAAACATTTTACACTAATTAAACGACAAGCATTAGTTTTCGCTGGTCTCCGATGTTCAATTACGATGTGTACTCCTCGGCATCCCCTTCAACAAACAGAGCCTTGTGGTGCGTGGTTGGTTTGTTGTCTGTGGTTAACATGTCTTGCTGCGGTTGGCTGGGCCTATCATAGAAACTATCAATCATTCGGCGTTTGCGGTTGCTTGGGAGCGACGCACTTGGTTGGGGCCAAGACATAAGACAGAAGGCAAAGCAAACCGCATTATTCATAATTAAACTCGACAAACTTTTATTCTATTACGCTTGAAATGCTAAATTTCTAGGCCATTATATAATTAATTTGTAAAACTAATCCGATACCAATCCAGCTGGGCTGTGCGTCTGTCAGTGTGAATTTGCAGTGTGGTTTTGCCAGTCCGCAAGTCTGTCTGCGAGTGCGTGTGCATTCGTGTATGTGCTTGGCATTTCGGCTATGTATGTATTTCCATGTTGGCATTTCTGTGGTTGGCTCATCTTTGCCTTCGGGTAGGTGGCCAATGCTACACAAGCATGAATTTAATTCGATTGCCAACCACAACTGAGCGCTGCTCCTATATGTGAATCGAGTTGGCCGAATGAATTTATTAATTGTGAGTCCAGCTACGAAAACTCAGCATGCAATGCCAAGCCAAATACAAAATAAAAAAAATTCAATTATAACGTTGAAAATATTTGAAGGTCTACATGGTCCAAGGATAACGAATGCGTAGGCTTTCCAGCTCTGCTGTTATGACCACTCGGCAGCATTAATATGCAAGCCAGACAACCCTTGTGAATAATGATTTTCACTCTTCAGATGCCAGACGAAGGTATAATAGCTTTCACTCAAAGTTTGCAACGGTCTAGACTTATAAGCAGCAAAACTTGTTCACAAAAAAAAACAGTTTTTAATTAAAAAAAAATAATTGACTTTCATTCATTATAAAAAGAAAATGAAATTCCCTATTCACTTCAAAAGGAATAAAATATATGACTATACTAGTGCCTTCCTATCATTGCGTAAAAGCTTTTTTAAATCAGAGATTTTTTTCGCTCACAAATGAAGCCTTAACAACTTTTTAGGCTTTTCGGAATTGAAGAGTAGTCAAAATGTGCATAAAATAAGGAAAGTGCAATTAGTCAAATTCTTCTAAATTTTGTACAATCAGTTATCAGTTGACATTTTTAATTTTCCTTTTTTAAATAATATTTTTGTTTCTCAAGTTCTTATTCTTTCACCTCATTAGATTTATTTATGTTACTATCGTTATGTGTTCCAAATGTTCGTAATTTCCCTGGTCTCGTAGATTCATATGATTTTATACAAAGGAAGGTATATGAAACAAAATGCACAGTGTACATTTTTTTATACGAAAGGGTATTCAATGTTCTCAGCGCACGCACGCTTGACAGCTCTTTTTGTGCGACCCACGAGGCGTATGTGTAACATTTATTTCCCACAGAAATGTACGCACACAAAAACATAAGCAGCAAAAATGCAAATGAGAATGCTAAAAAGCAGCCTCAAAACCGCTGACACATGCAATTAATTAATTTAAACATAAAATTGCCATTGCTGCAAAAGTATATTTAACTTGTCTGCAGTCGAGGAAAGAAAATAACAAGGGAATATGTGTACACCTTTTAACTGCTGCTAAATTTATTAAATTAATTTTACTGAGCGCTTTTGAGTTTTTGTGGATGCATTGTATAAGCTGCTTAAAAGCTGCTAATTGCTTGAAAAACGCAGCCCTAATTACATGACCCGGCGGCGTTCACCCCATATTTTACGCCAATAGATGAGAAATGCGTTAAGGCTTTGAGAGTCAATAAAATTCAATAAATAACAAGATGTCAAAAGTGCAATGGATATTCCAATTAAGCCTCTAAAGTGTCAGATTTTCGAGATTCGAATTACAGATATGGGCAAAGCAAGATGTATTGAATGAAACAAAACGTTATTCAAAGCGATGTTGTATAAATTATTCAACTTGAGGAGTTTAGGGGCTTGTGTTTGTGGCTTTTCAATGTTAAGTTGATTTGAATATTTAATGGGTTAAATTTCAATTTCAATATTAACATAAGCTTCTTGAATCAACATTTGTCGGTGCGTCGCTTGCACAATTTTCTAGTTAAATTTCATAATTTACTAATTACGTTTAAGTAAGTAATTGCCCGGCTCACAGTGAGCCCAAAGGTGTTTTCAGCTTCGACATCGTGTTGCTGCTTTACATTCAAGCAGTATGAATTATTTATGCAAACCTTGGCCAACATTGATTGTCAGAAAATGGCCAACTGAGTCAACTACCAGTGTAGATTCATCAATATTTATATAATTATTTAAGTGCAATATTTAAGGATTATGCTTGAATTTACAATAAACGGGCTTAATTGGCACGCAGAGCTTCAGTTTTTCATACGCTGATCATTAGCTCATTGTGTGAATAAAAAAGACTCTTGAGATTATACAAAAATTACATTAATTGCTTTTGAGTGTTCAAAGGCTGACACAAACAAATTCATTAAATGAACAGATTTTAAACGCTGTCAAACATCACAACGTTTAAACACCCTGCACACAATGCCTGCTCAAAACTGGTATTATAAAATAGTTAATAGAGAGCAGCAACTTCGTGACTATTTAAGCATTGAACTTTTATATCGCAGCAGATTAGGTTGAAACGCTCCAGCTATACTAATTTTTAAGTGAATTTTGACTAAAATATCAACATTTAGCAAACAATACTCGATAAAATATTGTACATCATTCCATCAAGACTGAGCACAGGGTAGCGCATAGTGAGGCAGTACGGTATTGGTTAGTGCTTCTCTTCCTTATTTTTGTATTTACATTATTAAAATTCCGTTTACAATCAACAATGGACATTAAATAAAAATAAAATAAAATAAAAGTGCCCTTGATAAATGACCGCTGGAATAAATGTAGAGCTACTTTTTATGGCATTACACGCATAACACACATTCAGAACGGGCTTTATTAAATTCTGATTTTTAACTATTTAATTTCAACAGTTGCAATTGAAACAATTAGCATGGAAAGAGCTTAACAGAATCCGCTTCATAGACTTCACAACACTTTGTAGATGTGTGAGTGTGTAATAGAATAATAAACAAAGGTTAGACGCTAGACATGGGAACGGGAATAGCAGCTGCTGCATTTAATTGGCAATAAAATTGGACAACAAATGTCAGAAGACAGCTGCAGAGGGTAGCCACAGAAGTATTACTAAGTTCCTACAAGGAATAGGCTCATGTTGTATTCCCAACATAAACACTTTCGAGTTTTCCCCTTTGTTCAGCGGAATCTTATTACTTTCTTTTCTGACTAGATATTTAAAGAGCTTACACTATAAACATTATAAAACAATTATACTAATGTTTTCAAAGAATTTGTTTTTCGCTAGGATGAAAAAAAGCTACATGTAATTCGAAATTTGAAATTCCAAGTAATTTATCTTGTTTTTTATTTTATTTTTTATTATTATTATTACCCAAGAATCAAGTACCGATGATACTTAGAAATTGTTCAGTGTAATTCCCCTTGTAGTTGTCCTTGGGCAACATTTGGGCAGGATGAATATATAAAAACCTTAATTTAGGAAATGAAAAAGTGGCTTGCATTTGGAATGCAACATTGCCTAGCTTATTGCTAGTTAGCCTTCGGTGACCAATATGACTTCTTATACAATTTTAAACAGCACTTGAGAGTGTTTTCATGTAGCCGGATTGTTATTAATCTGCTCCGGATAAGGCAGACGAATACATATAGAAGGAAAGCAGAGGGTCACCAGCAGATACAGAAAAGAGGGACACAAAACGACAGGCCGCACGAAATTGCTTTGTGTGTGTGCGACTGTGTGTGTGGTGCGTGTGTGTAGGCGCTTAGGCTCTGTTTGTAAAGTTAAATGGCACAATGCGTTGATTAAACGTCAAAACACCCACACTTAGGCACACACAACAAGGAGACGGACAAATTGGCAGCCAGCGGCGGCCAAGCGAGCAACGCAACAAAGCTGACTACAATAATATTGCGCAAAAGGCAAGTGGCAAAACCTGTGCCCAAACAACAATGACAACAACAATAAAAACAGCAACAACCACAGAAACAATTGCAGAAAACTGTTGCCAACGGCAGCACGCCTCTTGCCTATCTACCGGATTGTCTGTCCGACTGTCTGACTGTCTGTTTGTGCGTTTCCTTGAAGGCAAGTGTATAAGTGTAAATATAAGCGCCCGCCGGAAGTAGTGTGATTTACAAGCACAGCAAGAACACAACACAGCACGCGCATAATAAGCAAAACCAACAGCAGTGGCAACACTAAAGGCAACAGGCACATCGAGCTGGGGCCCCATCTTCGTTTCATTCGCCAGCTTAAAGAACCAATGAAGCCTGTTTATTTTACTCGCTTTACAGTGTCATTTGAGCAGTTCCGCCACTTGAACTGCTGTTATTTCATTTTCAGGACAAACAGCCAAGCGGGCGGGCTACTAGTTGCTTAGGTTTCGAGAAGCCAGTCTCAAGTATTTCAAAAGAATCCATTAAAATGAGAAATAACTTTGGACTCAGCTATTTTACAAGTACACACATATATAAGTACATGGAATAGATTTCTA